AATTTTCTAGAATGTCTTGAGAAACAAGTAATAAAATATGAAAAAAAATCAGAATTTTCTAGAATAGTTTTCACCATCATTTTGTGTGTATAAATAGCGGCTACCACCTTCAAAATGTTGTAACAAAAAAATTCAAAACAACATCCAATCTCTTGCATTGTAAATCGAAAGCCACTTTGTAAAACTTTAATAAAATTACCTTTTTCTCCTTCAACTATAATGTTCAATTAAATTACTCCTATCATTTCTATCCCACATAAAATCTATTTACTCACTTCTATCTAAACTCATTTATTTCTTCTATTCAAAATAAAAACCATCACAAGAAGATGAAAACCTTTCCATGGTTTCTGATGCATCATCAGGGTCTCCACAATTTCAAGATTAATGTGAAAACTACGCGTCCGATGAACAGAAAAAGAATAGCAACCAGAAAATGAAAATGAAATAGAAGAAGGGCATGTCACAAAGTTTGTATCTTGATGATACTGCTAGCTCCGCTATGTTTCATTTCTCCAAGGCAATAAACCAGTGCATAATTTTGTATTACTTTTAGGTCGTTTAAAATGTTTCCGTCGATATTATTAATGTCAGCTTTGAATTTCAAGACTACGTAGCTTATTCTGATATTCATAAATCAGTGGAACACAGTCCTAGTTTCTCACAAGGCATTCCTACACCATATTTTGAGATACTTTCTTCTAATATGAGGTTTTTTCAACTATTCTTTTTTTTCCCCAATTATTGTAATGTACAATCTCTTGCAGGGTGACTCGAAAATGAAGAAGTATTTAGATTTCTTCAAATCATCAGCTGAAGGGAAAAAAAGCATCTGGAAAATCCGGCAAGTTAATTATGTGACACCATGTAGCTTTTGAGAAAATTATGGTTTCTAGGGCTTATTTCGTTGCACTTTGTGTTGGCAGGCAGTTTCCTAGGAAAAAAGAGGCACTGACAAGTAGAAAGAGTAGATTTTTTGTGGAGTGGATAGAGGAAAAGAATGGTGAAGTGGAAGAATTGGAGGAAATCAGTGAAAATGGCTAGTTGACCCACCCTTATTTCCACTTTGGCTTTTGACCGATTCAAAAAAAAAAACGAAAATACATTTTAAAGACACTTTTTCCAAAAAATACCCCTTCATCTTCCTCACACTCTCTTGACATTTTGGAGAAAGAAATCACTTTCATTGATAGTCAATCGTCCAGATATCTTCCTCACCGTCAAACTTTCGATTGTCGACCATCTCCTATTGTAAAGGCTAGCTTTTGTGGAGTTATAATTATATCATTGGGTTTTGTTTAGTTTTAATTAGATTATTGGTTGGAATATTATTTTTGTGGTGTGAAAGGCATGACTTAGGCTAGATTTGCGTATAGATGGAGTGTATTGACCTATTTTGGTTATGTAGGGAGCTCCAACTCGTCGGAAATGGTAGATTCCAACGACAGGACCGATGTGCTGTTGACAGCCGGTAGCTAACAATTGGCCAGCTGTCAACAGCGAGTGGTTAACAGCCGGTTCTAACAATTGGTTCTAACCGGCTCCCTTCTTTTTAAAATTACTTTTTTAATTCTAATTTTGACTTTTTATTTTAAATTTAATTGTAATTGTAATTTTAGTTTCCATTTTATTTTATATTTTAATTTTTATGGTAATTATTAATTTTCAATAATACGGTAAAAAAATCATATTATTAATTTTTGGTGAGAGAGAAAAAATTTATAGAATCTGTCTTGCGAATAGTAGTTATGATTCGGTTCGCTTAATTTTGGGTTATTATGCTTCATTCCATTATTTCATGTATAATGTTCTAATATTCTGTTTCAATTTTTTCAGGATGGATTATCATTTTGATATAGAGCTGAGATAGATGCTGGGCAAAGTTACGTGGAACAGTAACTTTGACAGCTTCATCCTAGTCCTAGAGCTGCTTAACGACCAGCATGCAGATATGCTGCGCCAGTCCTTTATGTGGCCTCGATACCCTATGAGAGAGATGCAGTATTCGGTTCAGATGATCGATACTCTTCTATATTGGTTGTTGAGTCCAATTGACGGTGATGCACTCCACTTCGACCTCGAGGGCAAAGTCGCCAGCTATTTCATGTTTGAGTTTGCCTTGCTGACTGGATTGAAGATTACGAGCGATGAGGTAACTAGCGGCGGGACTCAGAGAAGAAATAGGCTATAGAACACTTACTTCTAAGGACAGGGGGCGGTGGTTCTGCCTTAGCTGATGGACAGGACGCGAACAGGAGGTCTGGTCTACATCATTGAGAGTGTGATACGGTGTCACCACAAGAAGACTGCGATTGACCTTTTCCACCTGGAAATCGTCGACAACATAGATCGCTTCAACAACTATCCATGGGGTCGTCGATGTTTCGAGAACACCGTTCACATCTTCACCAGACTGCACTCGAAGCCCAAGGGGCCCGTGTGTAAGTACAATGCCTACGTATTCCCCTTAGCGCTGCAAGTAAGTGATTAACGCAATCAATGTTAAAATATTTTTTTCTATTGAATTTGTATATACTAATTTATGTGTTGTAGATCTGGGCGTATGAGACCATCCCCACATTGGGTACCCTCTCGATGGGAGACACGCTACCCTCGGATGTACCATTGGCAAGCAACTCAAGTGAAGGGATGTCCCGTTGGGAAACAATTATCGGCTCTCCTCGACGACCCTCCTGTGAATATTATAAATTTGTGATTTATATTGTACACAGTTTAAAATCTCATTACATGATTTTGTCTTTTTAAAATGTCAATGTGTCAGCTTGAAGTAATAACTCATTTGACACCGTCGATGGAGGTCTTGTGCGTGAAATAGTGATTTCGTAGACCCAAGACGACCAGATGTCCGATTCGATTCTCGATCGACACTAGGTAAGTGAATTATTGATTAATGTTTTGTATGAGTTAGCAATTATTGAATAAGTTAATAATATGTATATTTGTGCGGGACCGCGAGCCGATTGATCGGCCATCACCTCTGCCGCCGGGATCACCTCCTTCCCCTCAAGGTGATTATTTTGATGATCTGTACCATCGTCCGACTGGATTTATGGTGTAGGAGATCGGTACGTTGCGTTAAAAGATGGTAGGAGTTATATCAGGGAAGGTCAACGTGCTACGTCGAGAGCTGATAAGAGTTATATCAGAGGAGATCGGCGCGCTACGTCGAGATATGGTAAAGCAGGTCGACGATTTGGGACTTTAATTGGTAGGGATGGTCGAGGATATAGCTGATGATGTTAGAGTGCTGCGTGGGCATTTAGGGGACCTTCAAGATGAGGTGATAGCACTTTGAGGTGATATAGCAGGCAGACGTGGTGTGATGGAGGTGACAACCGGGATCGAGAGGATAGAGATGGGGGTCACTTACAGTTGTGGTCGAAGGATGCATGAGAATCCTTTCTTCAGTCCATGGAGGATAAGGTAGCCTCGAGGGCGGAGGAAGGGGTGGCCCCATCGGGAACGGGAGCGACGGTCGAGGAGGTGGGCCCCTAGAGGGGAGCAATGGTCGAGGAGGTGGTGACGACAGCGACGGAGGAGGAGGTGGCGATTGTCGGGGTGAAGGAGGGGATGATTCCTGAAATGGGCGAGGGGAGGATGATTGTTGTCACTGGGGCGAAAAAGCACGTTGTTGACATGTCGGAGCTGGTGGTAAGTAAGAGGTCGAAAGTGTTGTCATAGTACATTGTCTCTTCCTTTACGACTGAGACGAGGAGGAGGAGGAGGTCCATCGATGGGACGATTGCCAGCCTATTTCGGGAGGTGGACCATACCAAATGAAAAGCGTTCGAGACGGAGTGGAGAAGAATGTTGCTCGGGTTCGTATTCATGTTATTAGTGATATTAGAACATACCAGTGATCGTTACTCGTATATGCTTCTTTAACATTTCTCTGTTTCTTTTTTCGGGACCAGCCGAATGATCGGTACTGTGACGATCTCCAATGCTTATAAGTGGTTCAACGACATCATCACTTCAGGAGCTTGGCTTACGGACGATGTAAGTGAAGTAGTTATATTGTTATTTTTTATAACTTGTATACCATTGTTTGTTTATGCAATGAAATAACTCCTTTTTGTATTGCTATTTCTTAATGCAGCACACCGACCTAGCAATGGACTTGTTGTGTAATTGGGTTCAAAGATATTTGGGGTCATTTGACAGTCCTGGGCGAGTCATACTAAATTTGGAGTTCGGACGAAGCGTTGACATTGAGTACCAGTCTCTCAAACATGTCGACAAGGAGTACGCGGCGCCCGACTACATGCTTGAGTGGACCATAGGGATATGGCCACGTGTCAGGGAAAGCCATGGCAGGATTGTGCACATATGTACATACCAGTGATCGTGAATCATCACTGCATAGCCTTGGTAATTGTGTTCGCTGAGTCTACTATATATGTCTACGATCCCGATCATTCATGTTTAACATAGGGTCAGGTCGAGCAAAATCTAGAGTTCATTGCCATTTTTGTCCCTATGATGGCTATACAGGCGGGATTGACTGTGAAAGAAAGATTAGTCGTCGTACGGGACACGACGACGGTGAGACAGACAATATCGTAAGTGGTTCTAAAAATTTTAACATTTAATACTTAATTTTTTTGCTGCATGGTACTGATCTAACTCATTATTGTTCGTATGCAGGTGCGATTGTACCATTTTTGCAATAACGTACATCAAATTTTTTAGTATAGCACATAAGATTGATGAAATCAACCAATCTTGGATACAGAGTTGGCAGAATAAGTTAGCGTGCGACTTATTCTACTTTAATGGTGATCTATAGATTTATTGTAATTATTAGTTGTAATTTTTCGTAATTACGAAATAATTTTAAATACTATAAATATTGATTTTTTGTAGTTTCGAAATATTTGTAAACATTGTAATCGATTATTAAATTACAATGTCCTTTGAAATATCGTAACATAAATGCAAACACTATTTATTTCAGATGGACAACATTACCAAATGATCTAAATGTCATTGAGAAGAACATGACTTGTACAATATTGACGAGTGTGCTCTACTGATTTGCAACGACTGTACTTACACTGTCGAGAAAATTCTCCGGTAGATAGTATTCTAGACGTACTTGGATATCCAGGACCACGAGGTTCAATGAGAGGTGGCAACAATGTATTGAGTGAATGAATATGGTCGGAGACTTCCCACTCAACTTCGTTCGACAGAGGAAATATTGTCTCAGGGTACGCAACTCTCCAATAATCAGTTGTGTAATAATGAGAGCACAATGTTCTAGCAGCGAATTCTCGATACATAGCAACCACGACTACATGCTCAAATGGAAAAGTCTCCAACAGAAATTTTTTACAAGTGCATGTGTCATCAGTTAAATCTACCATGTATGCCGTATTACGTACACATTCTACTAAGAAGAATGACTCGTCTAGCGGTTCGACATTCAACTGTCTCGCAAGTTCTGCAACTTTGAATAGCCTTTACTCTTGCATCGAGGCTAGCACGCTCATGCAATTCTGTGATTATGCACGTCGATCGTGAAACCATTGCTGCAGTTTGATATGGATATTCTGAATTAGTGCAAGGATGGATAATTCTCGATCTTTCATGAATAATGCATTGAGAGACTCCGCGTTGTTTGACGTCATTATGTTGTATCGACGTCCTGGAAAAAACAAGCGCACCCAATGTTCAATCTCCATTTTTGTTAGATAATCCCATGCATCGAATGATTTACTTCCTATTCAACCATGAACTTGTTACACTCTTCAACACTATAGGCATCAGCCGCTCTCCTGAACAATGAAACGATACCTTTGTCCCGATACCTGATCTTTAGATTGCCTTGAATATGGTACATGCATTACCTATGATGTGCATCCGAAAAAATTTCAGAGATAACATTTATTAAAGACTGTGAAGAACCATTGCATCGACAGGTCATTCTCACTATCGACTATGCCAAACGCAAGATGATAAATTTGGATGTCAACATCTTGACAAGTAGCAATAATCAACTTGCTTTGATATTTAGATTTCAGTGTTGTACCATCAACTAGAATTAGGAGTAAAATTGCATTTCGAAATTTCTGAATGCATTGTCCAAGAGCCATGAAGAAGAATTTGAAACAATTCCTACCCTTTGTCTCAATAAAAAATTTCGAGCCAAGATTAGTTTTCTCCATTTCATGGCAATACCTGGCCAATTTAGCATATCCTTCCTCTGCAGAGCCCATTTAATCCTCAAACGCACATTCCTTGGCCTTCCAGACTTTTTGGTAGCTCAAGACTACTTGGTACTCTCGAGAACGTCGTTAATGATGTTTGATGGTCTGTAGATCGTACGTGGATTCTGATACTTGTGCATTATATGTCGACCAATAAACTAAGCTCGGGCTTGCCTGTGATCATTTCGACGTATTTTCATTTCACAAGTATGTTCCCATGTGTACTTGCGAACTATAAAGCGCTCATTCGTGTTCATCTTTGTCGCACGCAAATGCCAACAACAACTGTCGTCTACGCAGACGATTGTCAACAATGACTTGTTCGATTTTTCACTTTGAACTCAAAGTTTTATTCCAGCGCAATTAGGTGCACAGCTTCCTGCAAATCCTCATTATTGGGAACCACACGCGAGGAGTTAGAGGACGATCCACTCGATTCAGTCCTTGAGGTCCCATCCCATTCATGTCTCTGCCGGGATAAAACAATCAAATCTTCGTCTGTAAAATATTTGCATTTTCACACTCATTGTCGTGAACTACGGACGAAATTTTGTGAGTAACTGCCTCTGAAATAACCGCATCATTTTCACGAGCTATCTAGACCGTATCCTAAAAATCATTAGCGTTGTGATTCCCTTCATCTAAGTCTACTTGTTCACCTTCGATGATATCTTTCCTCACTAAAGTCACGCAAAAAGGAGTCGAGTACCTATTGTTAATTTCAAACAGATAATTCACTTCGGCATCAGAGGAAATCGTCATGGGTAGACTTGGAACTTCCTGATCGCTGAATTTAAATTTAAATTCCATTTCATATTGAGAAAGATCGACATTTAGCTTATTCTGCAAAATATTATAGAATTCTGCATACGTTGTTGTTTCTATTATGGAAATTGGGATACCACCACGTTTATCACCCGTCCATTTTCATACCAATCGATTTCTTTCGTCTAATTAAAATCATTATAGTAACAAACTGGAACTACAACTATATCTGCATGACGAAAAATAATTGTTAATTGCAAGAAAAATATCGAAGTAAATAAAAAAAGCAAAAAAATAAATAAATTAAAACAGCCAGCTGTCCAGCCGGCTTTTTTCAACATTAACTGGATAGTCGGCAATTCAAATTCGGCTGTCCAACAGAATAAACACACCAAACTTTTGTAGATTAAATATTCAGTATACACAGATGAATTTTTCCTCATCAAATTCTTAAAATTTTTCACAGATATATTAAAAAAACTCTCGACATTAACATTATATGTCGAAATAAAATTTTTCTATTAAAATGTAAAATAATTTAACGAAAATAAAATTAAATGTGCGTATTATAAACTTACTGATATGATAAGATTGATATAAAAAACATTCAGTTATCGTGTTCGATGAATTTTTCAGATCTTGAGGTTGAAACAGATGAAAGATGAGAGTGTTTTTATCTGTGTTGGAGTAAATAGATATGAGAAGTTTGCTGATTTTGATATTTTAAGTAGTTAGTGTTTGATTTTTTTTTTTTGTTAACTAAATGGTAGTAATGTTTTTTAAACAAAATCATCTTTTGTAATTGTATAATACACTTAAGGGTATTTTTGTCTTTTAACACTCAATAGGCCATCGTGATAATATTAATAATTGAACAATTCAAAGTGGAATTTCCCTTCTTTGACTATTCCATTTTTGAAAGTACCTCGAAGAATTGGCAGCAGAAGTCTGAATATGTTGTTTGTATCTCTTTTATTTGTTTATTCAAAATTTCCACCAGTTATTTGTTGCTGTCTATGTAATTGGAAACAACCTAAAAAACAAATGTTCACTCAAAAAAAAAAAAAAAAAAAAAAAGAA